TGTGTGTGTGTGTGTGTGTGTGTGTGTGTGTGTGTGTGTGTGTGCGTGTGCGTGCGCGCGCATCCCGTCTGTCCTCAGCTAATCTCAAATACTACTGGACCCATCAGCCTAATAGTTTTTGTGCTCATTTATGACTGTATGCCCAAATACCTTTCAAGGTTGCAGTGCTTCATACTTTTTGAAAAACATGTTTCACTGACTGTTGTGTGAGACGTGTGAGTGGAAAAGTGCTTCAGATATGCTCGTGGGCCAATTGTGGTTTGTATTCATTCAATACAACTTGGCGGAGACATGCAGTCTATTGAGTGCACTGTTCTACTTCTTTCATAAATCTGTCCCATGTGAGTGCAACACAAATCAGAAGTACCCCTTACACCTTAACTTTTTTGACATATCGTCCAATTCATTTAATTTTCCATTAATGTTCTTATTTAACAAATAGGCCTAAACTAGAGCCTTACCTTGCGTGACAGAGCGTCAAATATTCCCCAGAACAGTTTCCTGGAGAGGTGAAGCTCTTCATCTGATGTAGCTCCGAAGCTGCCCCAGCCTCCAGCCAGGCAGTAATACTTCCAACAGCGCTCATAGTGATTGGTCAACAGCTGGGTAAAGTCAAGAGGACATTCATCAACCATCTGCTGGCTATAAGAACAATTTTCAATGAAATAGTGCAGCCGTTGGCACAAGTTCACAGTGCAAGATCGCTTGTCCTTGATCATATTTTCAGGACACTGAAATCAGAGATGCTGATGCAAAGGAAGTGCACTTGTAAGGAAAGAATTGTGTTGTTGACAACTGTATGAGCTAAAGTAAAAGCCCTGAAGATTCATTTGAAAAGCACTTTAGAATTGAGGGAGATTCAAGTTGCTCACCTTCAGAGGCATCTTGGTGTGTTCATTCAGCAGAGGGACGTCGAACACCAGCCTCCTCAGCAGATGCTGCATCATTGAAGGCCTCAGCTTACTGCACATTATTAAGATGATGTACATTAGTTGGTTATTTACACTACCACACAGAAACAGTACAATTCAGATCTTTAAACTAAAATAAACTAGAAAAACAAATGACCAACAATGACATTATAATAAAACACAAAAAGCAAGTGCTTCACAAAGATGCATCTACAAAAATGAATAATGAACGAGTTGGGGAATCAAATAAATGAGAATATAGTGATTAGTAGCAATAGTCAGGTTGAAGCCAGAGCTGTTAAGAGTGAAGCAGACCTGAAATGATAAGAGGAGGTGATGATGCTCACATCATAGTTCAAATGACTAAACTCATAATATTACAGTGTGGCTGAAGTTTATTGGTGTGAGTTCTAAAGTAAAGCTTAAAGCTGCTATGAGGAACTTTCATTTAGTGTTGATTCTGGCGGTCCCTGAGGACAGAAGTGGTAGTGTTTCTGAGCACCAGAGTCCCTTTAGAAAACCTCATTCTACTACAGCAGGGGACAGTCTGCTCTGCGTAGTTTAGTTTAGTTTAGTTTATCTATTTTGCACAATTCAAACAATAAAATAAAAATAAACAGACATAACAAAGATAAATGGATATCACAGTGCAGGAACAGGCAAAATGCCAACTGGGCTTATTTGAAGCCTCCACCTATATAATATTACAATCTTACAAAATTACAGAGAATATTAAAATGAATACACTAAAGATATGCGTAGTCCTGGTTCTGGTTCTCCAGTGCCGCCCTTTCCTCCAGCGGGCCCAGCAACACAGCCTGGACCTCCAGCAGCGTGGCGTTGGTGTTGGCTCCCAGTGGAGCTCTCCTCCTTCCACTGGAGCTCTGGCTGAAGGTCGAAGACAGCAGGGAAGTCAGCTCTGAGTCTGTCCGCGTTTGGCTGGTCGCTGCTGGAGGCTGAGCTGGAGGCTGAGCTGGAGGCGTTTCGGGTGAACCTGCATGTTTTAATCTTATAGAGGCATTACATTGAGACTGTTTTATAACCAATGAAAAGTTCCTCGTAGTAGCTTAAATGAATGATTATTTGTACCATACTAAGTATTATTATTAGTTCACAACACTTGTCAGAATCTTACATTGCTCTCCTGACAACCCCTTCCACATGTTTTAACATCAATGATCAATTCTAATGACTCGCACACTTGCGCATCTGTTTTGCATCTCTCTCCCACATAATACCAGTCTTACCCACAAACAGCCAGCAGACACTCCTCTATGGCGTCCCTCTGGGCCTTGGTGAGGCAGCAGCCTTTGGACAGGCGGTAGACCGTGTGGAGGAGGGAGTCGATCAGCGAGGCAAAGGGCTCCGTCCCCGCAAACAGTGGAGCACATTTAGTCAGGAGAGGCAACACAGCAGTACACAGATACCTGTTGAGGGCAAGGGCCATGTCTGTGGCACTGAGGGCAACCTGACACGAACACAGAGCGAAGACGAGAGAAGACGAGAGAAAAGACAGAGAAAAAAGGACGATTTGAGTGAGCGATCAGGTTTGGTCTGAGGAAAATGTGCATTCGAAGGGCAGTGGGATTAAAGAGGCGTAATGTGTGTTTGTGGCTGAGAAAGACTCTTCCCAAGAGAATACCACCCGAAATGATTGTTATAATAACATTGCAATACATTTGACGTTTACTCCAGTGGTGCATTGGAGGGAGTTAAACACTTCATTTTCTGCATTCTGTTGAATTCTTCTGCATCAATTTATGGTGAAAGCCAGAGTATAAGTTATGAAGGCTCTCAGACATTCTGTATTGTAACAAATATTTGATCTGCTGTACATCAACTTCTTCGATTCAAAGTTATGAATTGTCTTTAGTTTGTGGAAGTTCCGTCTTTAAATGTGCACGTGGCACCTGTTCACCTGAACAGTACATGAATTCAGTTTAAGTAATTCATAAACCAGTGGACTTTGATAAATCCTATGTGTTCATGTTCAAAACCTTCTGCTCATTCAAAATATATGAGATTCATTTGAGAATATTTGTGTTTATGAAAATAATGTCTGCTGTTTGATGCTGAGCATTAACACAGAAGCCTGCTGCTGCTGCTGGAAACAATGTGGATGACAGAAGCGGGACTCAACCAACAGAGTCAAATTACAGGCTGTTAAACCAAAACAATGATCATGTATAGACTAAAAAGCTCCACAGAGCTGAGAGGAACTACAGAATTTAATTAGTTCAATTTTAAGGAAATATCAAAGGGCAACAAAGAAAGTTTCACACATACACACACTTACAGTGTCCAGAGAGGCAGCGGCTCTCAGGTCCGGTAAGAAGCCGACTTCCAGCAGGTGCAGCAGGAAGGTTTGGTCTTCTATACCGTAGACCCTGTCCAGGAACAGGACCATGGCTGCTTTATGGTCCGGACAGAATCCAGCCGACATGTCCGGCTCCACCACCAACCCGTCTGTACATGCAGAGGCAAACACATAACACACACACAAAACAAACAAGAAGTCAAGACTTAACCATCAACTAAGTCAATGCTTTTATTTGCTCATGTTTATCATTGATCTCATACTGGACCTGTTGAACTTCAGGAATACTGTTATGTATGTAAGATAGGCTGGGTGCTGGAGGGTCTGCTTACCTTTAGCCAGGTTGGGCATGGAGAATGGAATGCTGATAACTCCCACCAGGTCTTCAATAGGAATCAGGGACCTCAGAATTGCTCTGATACGGATCGCTTCACCTTTACCAGCATGGATTAACTGAAACAAAATGGGTTAGGTTAGTGTGGGTATCGATATGAGTCTGTGTGTGTGTGTGTGTGTGGTCACACACATGCATCTCTGGAGCACAGCGGCCCAGCAGGTCAATGAGAGCAGCATAGAAGGTCATGATGGCGTTCCCCATGTGGATGGTATCATCTTCGTCTTCTTCCAGCATGTCACTGCTACACACACAAAAACATGATGCTACTAAATAGTCCAGACTACTCACATCTTAAACAGGTCAGGTTGCTTTCCCATAATTCATCACTCAAGCAACAAATGAAACACAGGGTTTCCCTCTATTCAGTGAATATAAAAACACAGATCTGGGATGGACAATACCCGTGTTTGGGTTGAAACATATATATCGGGACATTTACAAAAACACTGATCTATTGAACTGTAAAAGATTTCTAGTCGTGTAAACATAAAACAAGAAGTGACGATGTTGTCTTACAGTGTTTTGCTGCTCTCAGACGTTGGAGAGGGACCATCTCTGGAGAGATCCTGAGAGATCCTAATGGCTTCCTCCATCGCCGCCAACAACCCATCGCCACCTTCACCGCGAAGGGCCGGGCCAAAACATTCCGGTCGGCGGATCAGAAGCCTCACCACGACATTGGCATTCTCCTCCACACTTTCACCTGGCCACAGAACAGCAGAGGTGTTCATGACAAACAAACTGCGTGGCGAACACATACTACGTACACATGCATACATTGATAAAGAGGGACAACAGCTTTTGTGTAAGAAGAACAGATTTGACTACCAATGTAGTCGAATGTGAGAAAAGGGATTTGTGAATTCACCATTACAGAAGACAGCAAAGCGCAGGAAGTCGAGGTAGCGCTCCCCCTCCACAGGGTTCCAGCCAATGTCCGGGTATCCATTACGCACCAGCATCACACAGCTCTGCAGCCCACAGCCAGCCAGGTACTGCACCACCTGCACGGGCAGACAAAGGGGCAAGTTTAGTAACACTTCCTTTGATGACCATGTCTATGATGCATCATAAACATACTTATAATGCTCATTATAACACTGTATAATCATAGTTATAAGCACTCATAAATGTTCTCCATGCTTTATAACAATAAGCATAACACATTATAAAGCATTTTATTTTATAATTTCATAAGGTCAAGCAGCGTTATTTTTTTCCCCAAGAGTGTCCCACCGTGCTGTGATTGGCTAGCACTACTGTGCTGTGATTGGCAGCTGATCTGGTGATAACGATGTGCCATCCTACGCTGTGACAAGAATGTAGACTTTATATACTATAGATGGACTGGGCTACTTAGCTTGATTACTAAGTCCACCATGCTTTTATGCTACATTGGTTACACATCATCTGGCTATAGCAATGTGCTTTCCTACGCTGTGACAATGGTAAGTGGATGAAGAATGATGACACATTCATTTGGTACATTTTACAAATATAGCGGCAGACTAGTTAGCTAGCCTGCTTGCTAATTCCATCATTATATTTCCCATAGTTGTAATACATTATACTATATTTAGAACCCATCGCAATTGCTGTTATAATGCATATATATGATATGAATCAATAAGATAAGTTACTCTAAGTGGCCATTATTTAAGTATATTATATATAAGTAAAACTATATACCCCTATTGAAAAGAACACACAGAGCACCTAAACGCAAATAATAAGGGAGGGAGGGATGGATAGATAGATGGATGGATGTATAAATGGATGCATGGATAGATGGAGGGATGGATAGGTGGATGGATAGATGGATGTATGGATAGATGGATGGATGGATAGATGGATGAATGGATAGATGGATGGATGGATAGATGGATGGATGTATAAATGGATGGATGCATGGATAGATGGATGGATGGATGCATGGATGGATGGATGGATGATGGATAGATGGATGGATGGATAGATGGATGGATGTATAAATGGATGGATGGATGGATAGATGGATGGATGTATAAATGGATGTATAGATGGATGGATGGATGGATGATGGATAGATGGATGCATGGATAGATCGATCGATGTTTTCACTGTGTTGTGGTCTGGTATGCCTGGTGAGGTTCACAAAAACACACCATCTGTTTTTGGTCTGAGTGAGGTGAGGGCTGAGATGATGCCCAGATAAATCATCTGCAGCCCGTATTCCTCATACAATTCTGTATTTTGCATTCAATTAAATTAAACTCAACTCAACTTTATTTATCCACAAAGGCAATCTGAGTTTGGGCAAGTGCAAATAGACAAGAAACAGCCATGAACACAGACAGACATTAACAAGCACCGGAGCTATGTCGACATTAAGACTATGTTGCACTGATGGTGTAGTTGCTAAAAAAAACAAATATGAAATAGATAAAAGTCATCATACAATAACGATAAGAATAAGTGAATATGTAAATAGTCCATAAAGCTCGAAGGCATTTAGGTATTTCATGTTTGTTTTTGTATGTGCTAAGCTCCCGATAGAGGACAGAATTGTCTTGCAGGTCCTTGTTTACCAGGTGAATGTATCTGGAACTGGGGGTGGAGGACATGAATACTTTCCCCCATGACATCACGGGCCTTTGCTGCTCATAGAATGAGGCTAAGCTTGGGAGGGGCACTCCAGGGATTTATGAGAAAGTGTTCACTACGCTTTCTGTTTTTGACAGTAAGGGATGGGAACCAGCCGATGAAACACAGAATCTCTCAATGAAGGAACTGTAGATGGTCCTGAAGGATGGATTTTTGGGGGAAGTATTAATATTGGTGTGGCATTATAGCTGATGTGTTTTTGCTAAAAAATTCAAGGTTGTTATAAAAGATGTTAGCAAGATATTTATACTGGTCCACAACATCCACCTCCTCGCTGTCTATGTCCTAAGAGGCTTCCTTCTGAGATCAAGAACCATCTCCCTGGTCTTGGTGATGTTTAAGAAGTGACAGGAGGACCGCGTTGTCAGCGAATTTAATAAGGTGACGTTAAGAATGGATGCTCTTACAGGCATTACTGCAGAGCAGAGGTCTTCAACAGGGGGTCCGCGAAATATTTGGTTGATTAGACAATTTATAAAAAATAATAATAATTACATTTTTTTTTCTCTAAACATGAATGTGTCCATTATTGCAATAGTTCAGTATTATATGCAAGATGACAGGTATGTTTATGCATGGCAGTGGCACTAATAGGTAGGGTTGGGTACCGAAAAGCGGTGCCAATATGGTATCTACCGGACCGAAACGCAACGCAGATTTCGGTGCTTCCTTTCGGTGCCTGAGCCGATTGAAATTCTTTTTTTACACTACTCTGCTGACTCCGTCCTGGCAGACTCGGTCCTCCGTTCCTCACTCATAGTATTATTACAACGGGGTACTTAGCGCTGGCGCTCATAAGCACAACATCCACAGGCACGCGAAAGCTTCTTCTTCTTCTTCTTCTTCTTCTTTGAGGTGTAGTGGCGGTTGGCAAATGACGAATTGGTGCATTACCGCCACCAACTGGTAAAATAAAACAAGTCATGAAACGTGTCGTATTTTGCCAGAGAAGGAAAATATGCTCATATTTCTGCAAAAGAATTGCTGAAGTTTGAAGCTGTAGTGTGTGTACAGAGTGTGTTTTGTATTTATTTATAGTCATGGTATACTTTAAACAGTTAGTATATTGTTCAATTTGAAGAAAAAAGTATCGGTTCAAGCACCGCTTAGGCACCGGGATCATTTTAAAAGTATCGTTTTAGCACCGGTATCGGAAAAAACCCAAACGATACCCATCCCTACTAATAGGCCATCACTCATTTTTGTTTCCACATTTATGTTTAAAATGAAAACGTTAATTTGAATATCTTGTATGCATGATTATCATGCAATTAACAGACAATGTTGATATTGGCATTGGTATCAGCTGACAAGGTATGTTTATAAATGGCAGTGGCACGGCCACCCTACTCACTGTACCTTGCACATGTTTAAAATAAAAACATGAATATATGAACCTGTGTATTATTTGAATAGCTTAGTATTGAATGCACAATAAAGAGGTATGTTTATACATGGTACTAGGCCAATTTAATATAAAACACAATTTTATACAATATATATAGTCGGGGGTCCCTGCTCCATCTCTCTATCAGTTTGGGGGTCCTTGGCCTGAAAAACTTTGAAGACCACTGCTGTAGAGAATAAGGGGGACGAGAATGCACCCTTGTGGTGAGCCTGTGCTGCTGTCTAACTGATAAAGTGTCGTTTGTGAGGACTCTCTGAGGTCTATCTGTTAAAAAAAACTAAATCCTTAAATAGGAGCCTGGCAAAGGCTCAGCTCATGCATACTTCAAATGAAACAACCACTAAATTGCTGAAATATTTTGACATACCTTGTGTGTGTGTGTGTAAATGTTTGTGAACCTCACCTTCTCCAGGTCTGGCTCTCTTAAAGCCAGGGCCAACTCATTATTATCCATGACGGATGCTGCAGCCACATCCAGAGGAGTAGATCCTCGCATGGAAGGAGATGCTGAGGAGAGGAGAGAAGATAAGGAGAGGGGAGGGGAGGGAAGAGGAGGGGAGGGGAGGAAAAGATATAATAAATATAAATACACTTAAGAGAATAGGGAGTCTATCACTAATAAGACGACAGAGGCTCTGTTCCTGGATACAGCACTGTCAGATACACAGCACTATTCAGACAGCCAACGCTCTCTGTGACTAATAAGGGAAGAAGCTGTAAAAAAAAAGGTTTCAAAAAGTACCCAAAACCTTGTCAGAGAACAGCACACAGCTTCTCCACACACAGGAACATGCTAGTGGAAAACAACTCACGGGTTGTAAGCAACAACAGTGGTGAAAGCAGTTAGGAAGGAGCGAGCAGAGGATCTCCATCGTCAAACATATGACTGCTGGCTTTCATCTTCTTGTATCCAGTATCCATACTGGCACTTCACATACACTTCACATGATCTGCTTGGTCAAAGTCTTGTGTTTTTTCCTGCCAAGTTCACTGCACGACTAACAATGTGTTGTGGATTATAAGCACCGCTGTATCAGAGTGGGCTTCACTTTTTTATACATTTCTTTACCTTCTATTTTGGGGACAGCAACACTTTTCACTACACATTGCACTGGTGTGATGGTGTAGGTGACAAATCAATTTGAAGTGAATCATATAATTATAATTTTTTATATGTATAAAACATATATATATTAATATCAATATGAAGTGAAAATGTTCACAAAGTATTGAAGTTTGGTATTTTGGCTGCATGGTTACAACTGAGCAGACTCCATCTGCTGTGTTCACTCTCTATTCACTATGTACACTCTTAAAGGAACCACAGGGGTTTCCAGCTTGTACCCAGAGGAGAACCCTTTTTGATTAATGATAGAACATCTTATAAAGGTTTCACCTGGAATCCTTTCAGAGGGTTCTACCTAGAACCCAACAGAAAGGGTTTTACCTAGAACCATATGTGAAAGGTTCCAGCCAGAACCTCTTATGAGAGGTTCTACAGTGAACCCTTCTATGGTATATTGGTTCCACCAAGAGCCCTCTCTGGAGGCTCTACCTTTCAACCTTTTAAGGGTGTCAACAAGAAACCCGAGGATTCTACCAAGAACCCTTTTAAATTGCAAGGGTTTCATCTAGAACCCATCCAGAGGGTTCTATTGAAAACCATTTCATATCCCAAGGGGTTCATCTAGAACCCTTTTACATTCGAAGGGTATTATGTAGAACCCATTTTAATTCCGAATTCTGAAGTACCACTATCTGATCTACCCCTTCAAAAGTCCTCAGTGTAATGACTGTAAGTAAGAAGGTAAGTATTGTCCATGACATGGACACTGCACTGCATTTTATAGATTTTAAAATGACTGTACAGCTGTCAGCAATGACCAAAATAATTATGATTCATAAGAGTCCAAAATCTCAATACTGTATATTGCTTGTTATTGAGTTAACCATTGAGTGTCAATTATTTAAGATAATGAATGAGTGTGCAAGGTCAGAGTGCGATTTCAGACACAGTTCATGGGACCATCATTCTCAACATATGATTTCTGTTTCAATGTTTCTCTTCAGTCACACAACAGTACTCACATAACTCCCATAAATGTTCAAGCTTCCATTAATCCACAGCACCCAATCATCCAGGCAATCTGCATTTATGTTGTGGCTCAAGTGGTTAACCACTTGTGGATGTAAACTGTATACAGTGAACTTAACGAACCCATTTCAAAGATGGGCGGGGACTTCTCAGTGGAGAACTAACCAACAGATACAGTATATATCACACACATACTCACCAAGCCCAACACTGCTGTTCTCCAGCAGGTAGCTGAGATGGTCAAACATGGCTTTCTGGTTCTGGCGGCTGATTCGGCAGAAGTAACAGAGAAAACGACAACAGTTGGCCACCATCTTAGGGAAGGTGATTTCCTGCAAAGAAAACACATGCTTCATGTCAGACAAATGCCATGCAGCGATATTGTCTTCTCATTGTTGGAATGCTGTTAAGCATTTTTGATGTTTGATATGATGGTTATGGGAGTTTTGAGGATTTGTTTGAGAGGTGTTTCTCTGTTTAATCTCCATGAAAAGGCTGCAAGGACACAGGTGTTTCTGATTAAGCTAATTAGTGATGTTGATAAACACAGACTCACGGACACGCACTCCTCTCTCTCTCTCTCTCTCTCTGTGTGTGTCTCTCTCTCATACAGTCATTCAGGTCTTAGAGACTTTTAGAGGACCCCCCCCATTTTAAAATAAAAGCCGCACACACATGATTTAGAGATATACGTGATGCAGCTCAGCCAATCAAATATGGGTATTCTGATAAGTTTCCTGATTCGAGTGACATTTACACACACCGTGACACAAGAGGGAGAGACGAGGAAAGACATGACAGAGCAGGACAATAGTTATGTAAGCTGTAAATGATAAAACATAGGACAATCTCCAAATGAGAAAGATTGCCAGAGAGATCAGAGTCTCTCACTCACTCATACTCTCTCTCTCTCTCTCTCACTCACTCACTCATCCTCTCTCTCTCTCTGTGTCTCTCTCTCATACAGTCATTCAGGTCTTAGAGATTTTAAGAGGACTCCCCCCCCACACACACACACCCCATTTTAAAGTAAAGGCCCCACAAAATGAATTATAACTGAAATGCTTGTGATGAAGCCTGTCATTTAATAACCTGTTTATGTTTATCTAACATTAACATCTAACGTTAAGCTCAAAATTAGGCTTTTTTGTTGAAATACTGAATGCTCTTACGAATACTGCGACAACTACTACTACTGCTACTAATATTTCTAGTATCACTACTACTACTACTGCTACTACTTCTACTGCAACTTTTGCTGTTGCTACTATTATTACTACTACTACTGCTATTACTGATACCATCAATATTATTACTACCA